TTGGAGGACCAGCTTCTCCTAAGTACAGGTATTACCAATTTTATTTACCAAATATTTATGATTAATTCTGCCCCTGATGGTAGTGCGGCGCGGACCATCCAGTGGCAGATCCACAAATATTTCAAGGTCTGGACTAAATGTAGAGATCTATTTATCTATACACTGCTGTACTAAGAATGACATATTCATGTTCCAAAAAAAACAAGAGCAATACAGCATTGATTGAAAATTACGATATTGGATACGTTATGGAATGTCTTGTGCATCAAAACTCCATTTTAGACTTGAAATCGGATACTCGATACATTTTTCATATGGCAACAGATTCTCCTGTGCAAAAAAAGAAAAAAGCACAAAAAATTGTAAATAACTCTCSATTTTCATTGAGTTGATTTTGACCCTGTATTCGTAAAAGTTATAAACCTTATGTCTTATGGGAATACAGGGTTAGCCTTAATTTGGCGAAAAATGTTCAAGGCTATTGTAGCCTGAGCTTCAGCCCGCCTTTACTAGTAAACACCGTGTTGTAAAGAATAAACCGGATGCATACAGGCTAAGGGCTATTGCATGCTATTTTAATAACGACAATTTTATTCAGGCCTTTTGCGCAAGAGAATCTGTGGTCAAATTAAGTATTGATATCCCCTGGATCTGCCTGCAGACGATACATGCGGTACAGCAGTACAGGTATAGCGAGAGTTTAGCCTAAAGTGCACGGGGAAGGCACAGCGGGACAAGTGAMCATCGGCTTTTGTTCCTGTTTGAGTTGCGCGTTTTGTAATCAAACGAAACAGTAAACGTAACGCAAACGCGGCAAACGGAAAACTGACCCACTGTCGCGCTGAAACCGTAGAACGTGAAGGAAAATCACGCGACCTTTTCTGCTGTTTGTTGTGAACGTGATCAGTCCGACGATGCTGAAGCTCTCACGTCACAGATAAAACACGACACGTCAATAAGCGTTACGTCACCTGCCTGGTATTTTCACAATCGCAGTGCGCAAGTGCAATTTTCAATTACAAGGTTATTTTTACGGTGTTGGACACACGCAGACTGCAGACTGCAGACTGCAGACTGCAGACTGCAGACTGCAGACCGCAGACCGCAGACTGATCAAAATATATTTCCTATATTATAAAATTTAGAATTAATAAAAATAAAGGAAGGAAACCCAGTGAGCTTAAGTTTTAAAAATATTAGAGAGTTCTTCCAACAAAAGTTTTGAGTTTCCGGTAAACTGCGTGACAATCACAGCAAATAATTATTTTGAGCGAAAATCGAGTATTGAGAATTAAAGAATAACTGGCAATTGGCAACTGGCTTTTATGGTAATGAAAAACAGAAATCTTGCATTTGTATTCGTAGATTTATATTTGTTGATTTTGCCGGATGTTTTACAATGGTTTAGAGTTTCAAATTACCAAGATGTCGTCCGCTGCGTCAGGAGGAGTGGCCTCCCGGAATTAAAATATAATTTTATAAAATTCAAGATTACTATTTTGCCAAAGATTAGCACGAGGATACAGGTGAGCCTATATTTTTTGATTTTTTGTGTTCGGGCTCCCTATAATTGAATGACGTCATAGCAAATGGTTGACAAGTCGGTCACATTAACAAAGTTTTTAAAATGTTTGTCCAGGAATGATTGGAATCCAGTGAATCCCAGAGAAGTTAATATTACATATTTCTGTTTATTATATATTATAATCTCTATTACAATATTGTATTTCTTGTTTGTTTTAAATTGTCCCCTTTGTACTCTTAATTCGCAAATATATTTTTTGTGAGTGGCGAGAAACTGATGCCTATACGATTTATCTTGTATGACCAAAAG